GGTAATTGTTCATTTTTCCAAATTAAGAATAAATATTTTAAATGAAGTTTATTTCCATTACTTTTCGTGATTTTTAGGTCATAAAGATACAGTCAAATATCTGGCTCAACATGAAGCGAATATAAATGCTCGAAATGAGAGAAATCAAACTCCGCTAGAGCTAGCAACAGGTAAATTTGCCAGACAATTTTAAATAAAAAAAAACGCCACGTGAAAAGGCTTTAGAAGAGAATAATTTGACTAGACACTTCGAAATAAAAAAAACGTTAAGTTTAATCACAAACCATTTTAGGTTACAAGGAAATAGCCAAATTTCTATTGGAATATGAGAACATTTCAAAAGCCAAATATGGTAACTATTGTTATTTTAAATTAATCCAAAAGAAAGTCAAAAAGAAAACTTGGCAACTGCATATTTCTTAGAAGGAAAAAAGAAATAAAAACAGAGAATATATTTGGATATTGTCACCCAGATATTTCCGCTAATCTGGCTGACGTCAGGCACTGAAATGGAGTGAAAACAATACAAGTGACTTTAATATTGTTTGTAACAGTGGAAGTGTTTTTAAAACTATAACAATCACTTCTATTGCTGACGCTTCATTTCAGCGCCTGACGTCAGTAATTGTAATTTCATTTGATTTTTGTTTCGAAATTAGCATGCAGTCAATTTCCCACAGTTCAACGTGTAACATCATATCTTACACAAGGCGATTTGGCAGAAGAGGGTGAATTCCCCTGGATGGTGAGATTGATTTTTCATTTTTTTATTTATTTTCGAAAAATTGAACGCATTTTACTTTTATGAAAAGGCTGCTTTAGTTTACGTCGCTGGTTTGAAAATTAGTTTCAGATGCGGCGGTACCATAATATCGGAGCGCTATATAATGACGGCTGCACATTGCACAAGCGCATATCCACCGGTATTAGTGCGATTGGGAAAAGTGAGTGATATTCATATACACAGTCCATTTGAAGTGCTTTGTTTGAAATATTTTTTTAACCATTTTCAAAATAGGTAAATCGAGCCGATGAATCTGCATCAAATTACCAAATAGAATATTATATAAAAGTAAGTAATACACATTCAAAATTTATTGTATAACATTACTCTTTCTTAACGTTGCTATTTTCTTTTTTCAGAATATCATACGACATCCAAATTATTCGATGAGAACGTATAAGAACGATATTGCATTGCTTCAACTCAGAAATAGAATTTTATTCAACGACAACATTAGACCGGCATGCTTGTACACAGATATGGGTGATATCGATAATCGTACAAAACTAATTGTGACCGGCTGGGGCAACACTATTCCTGGAGGTTGAACTCATTCAGTATAAAATACTTTATTTTTCTGCACATTACATTAATCCACCTTATTCGGTCTCTATATTTTTAACTTTAGATCGTGACTCTCAATCAGATTTGTTACTTAAGATTGCGATTAATACAATGCCATTAAGTGAATGCAACGCAACCTATTTGAATCATTTTGCACTGAAGAATCAAACGGCTTTTCGGGATGGCCTTGATGACGGTCAGTACTGCGCACATGATCCAGATGGACAAGACCCTTTTATAAGGGATGCTTGCCAAGGAGATAGTGGAGGTCCACTTACACATATCCCCAACAATGATCCGAATGAAGCCACAATAGTTGGTATCGTTAGTTTTGGCTATAGTTGTGCTTTGGAATTGCCCGGCATTTACACGCGCGTTGCTCATTATATACCTTGGATTGTATCCGTCGTCTGGCCATAAAATTAACATTTTTTAAGCAAATTTTATCACACTTATTTAATAATAACTAAGATAATAACTTTCTGAAAAATATTCAAACAGATAAAAACGATGCGTTGTGCAAATTGCATTGTTCTACATATGTAATATTCGCAATTTTTTGTAAATTCAATCAATACGATACTCTTTTCATAGAAATAAACACAGAAGAATTACGGCTTGTAGTACGAAAAAGTTCATCTTATAGTAATGTTCTTATTTTTAATATACATTTTCAAGATCTTTAGCAGTGGATACATTGGACAAATTCTACGTCTAAATAAAGGCTTCGTATAATCTTATTTAAAATGTGTTTAATGCAAACAGTAAAAGATACTTTTAATTTTCAAACTTTTGTGAATAAAATTCAAGTTCGAAAAGTGTCAAATGAGAGATGTAATTCATGTCTCTGTACAGTAGAGTGGTTCGATTTTGACATTTTTTCAAGAATCAAAAATCGTACCCCTAAAACCTCTGTAGGAAGGTCATAGAAACATGACTATAACAACGAATTCGAAAAAAATGATTTTTGGTGATGCGCGGTTCCAGGTGGTTTTCTTAAAAAAATCAAATTTTGATGAATTTTGAGCACTTTAAAAATTCAATAAAAAATGGTCCACCGGGGTTTTTTTGGCACGAGAAAGCCGAATCTGGCGTTAATTTTGCAATACAAATAATTTTCGACACTTTTTTCATGAAAAAATCACTTTGCACGGAATGTTTTTTCTGCAAAAAATAATATACCGAAAGTTTGATTAAATTTCAATACAAATTAAGTGTATCTCACATTAAACATTTTCGAAAATAAGAATTTGTATTGAAATTTGATCAAACTTTCGGTATATTTTTTTTTGCAGAAAAAACATTCTGTGCAAAGTTTCATAACATTACAACATCAAACAGGCAATAACATCAAACTTCAATACAAAATTCCACATTTTTTGTGATTTTTTCATGAAAAAAGTGTCGAAAATTATTTGTATTGCAAAATTAACGCCAGATTCGGCTTTCTCTTGCCAAAAAACCCCCGGTGGACCATTTTTTATTGAATTTTTAAAGTGCTCAAAATTCATCAAAATTTGATTTTTTTTAAAAAACCACCTGGAACCGCGCATCACCAAAAATCATTTTTTTTCGAATTCGTTGTTATAGTCATGTTTCTATGACCTTCCTACAGAGGTTATAGGGGTACGATTTTCGATTCTTGAAAAAATGTCAAAATCGAACCACTGTACAGCATGTTCAAGCTGAAGGTTCTTTATTATTTAAGTGGTTTAGTGCAAATATATTCAATATGTGTACATACCAGTGCGATGCCTAGCCATCGGTTGCTTGTGTTTTGCATAATAACAGCAATGTTGTTAGCTTCCATTCGCTTAAGCAGCATTTCCATGAATCTGGACTCTTGATTGTACGCTCTAATAGTTGCAACACCTTGTATCGTCTCCGAAAAATGCGTTAAAATTGGTGAGCTTGTAATACTTTCCAAGCGCTGCAACTCTCTATCGATTGCATCACAAAACAATGAACAAAAAAAAGCAGCTTTAAAGTAAAAGAACTTGAAACATCAAAAGATGTAAAATTGGCGATGTAAAGTATTTGTTCCTACATGAAAATCAATCAATTGTTAATTCAAGCTGTTTTAAAAGCACTTGCTAACAAAAGTAATATAAAACCTTTTTCCTCTTCAGTAAATTTCCACCAATACGTTGTTTTTTTTTGTATTAATTTAAAAAATCAAGCATATATATGTACCAGAATCAATTGGTTTTAATTTCGCAATCTCAAGTACATACTTGGAAAAATTAATTGAATTTGTAAAATGCAAAGTAAACGATTATTATTATTTTCTTCTAAATTGATTGATGGTGCATTCAACGAAGAAATTGAGGTCAATGATGGAATTTAAATTAGAAAAAAAAAATTGTTTGTGAAATGGCTCCATTGTGATCAAGAGACTCGCCAAGAGATGAAAGTGATCAAAAAGAGATTACCTCGATGAGTAACGGTAGAATTTTTGTACAACATAATAGGCACCGCAAATGGGTAACGTCAATAAAATAAACCATGGCGTAACGACAGCATTCAATAAAATCGAGCACAGACACAACAGCACAAATTGTAATAGTCGTTGACTTGTTGCGGCGATTTTCTGTCAAAAAATGCATGCGAAAAAAAAATGGGGAGAGAAGAACACAAAACCGGGACATAAGTCAATAAAGTGGAAAAAAGTGGCGGTCTTACACTGCGGCATTTCGTAATAAATTTACTTTATCAATAACAGCCATGTCTGAACTGAAACGATTCATCATCCGGCCAAATGGCATTGTTTGAAAAAAATATATTGATTTTTTTACAATTGACTGCAATAATTGTTCGTGAAGTGAACGTCGTGCTTTTGCACCAGCATATTGTGCGAAGGGCACTGAGATCATCGAAAAACCTACGCATATTGCCGATAACAAACCGTAAACGCCAAAATAATATGAAATCTGTGAAAATAAAAGAGAAACATAAAATGAGAAGATGAAAAAAATGAATGAACACATATATACTGAAACAAGTTAATTTATAGATTTCGATAGAAAAGCCAGTTACAATCAAAATATTAGTTCAATCGAATAGCCCTCCAAACCAATGCCATGATTGGACAGTGTCTGTATATATGAAGCGTGTTGGTTGGCAAACAAGTACATAAAATCGATTTCCGGAATGAGGGAAATTAAACAAACACAATTTGTCACGGTGCTCGAACAGAAAAGAGGAAGAGTAGCGACAAAAAGGATGGAGAGAGACGGGAGGGAAATATAGATGGAGACAGTGAAATAACGCAATTGTTCGCACGCCGCGATCACAACAGAAAAATCTATACATATATTGTAAAATGTTTGAGTTTGTATGTGTATACGTACATCAGTGAAGCGATTTGTCTGCTCAACATCGGTCCAATCCCTTAGCCAAATATCTAGATAAATTTTCGTTGCTTGCCATCCCATTGCGCTTGCACAAAAAACACCAATCGTCCATAAACCGCAAGACTTTAAATACAATAAATAAATTTTCGCTGGAATTTTGCCATATTTTCTCTCTTCATCGTATATTAACCGATTGGATATTTCCTGATTATTTTCCTCATTGTTGTAATCTGTAATGTACAAAAACAATAAATTTATCCACCGAAAATCCATTGTTTGTAATAAAATGTGCTGAATGTGTTTCTTTCTCTCTCTCTCCGTGCATCTCTTCCATGGCATCTCCTAGTTTACGGCCTGAATGACCATAAATGTATAATATCATTCGATTGTTGGCGAGTTGTTTGTCGCATTCAAAATTCGGTTCACACAATGAAACCCAAAATGCATAGCATATTTGCGTAACACCGGCTTTAAGAGATGGACCCGTTGGGCATCACCTTCAACCATGAGAACCATCGAAATGAAAAAAAAATACAAAACACTTTCAGCCCTAAACAATGTATAAATAATTTTTTTTTGCTCTTGGTGAAATCTGTTTAGTTTGAATTTCATTGCACGAATATTTTATACGCTTTGTATAAATGCCGTCCGAAAAGAAAAAAAATCGGACCCCATTTACATAAATCCCAATGTGACTGCTGTGTATGTGTGAATTCACTGGATATTTGCATATGCCTTGTGCGGATGTATGTTGAATGTGGGGCGCGCGATTTTAACATAAGCTCTTTCGATAGGACATTAAAACAAGTGCTGAATATATACTTTCTCTTTTTCTATCCACACACCGCGCCCACGTACACTTATCAACCAAAAGCTTAAAATAACAGTTTTTTTTTAAACCGAACACACATTAAATGAGAGAGAAAGTAAAAACTTACAAGAGGGATAACAATGCGATCATCGTACGCGTTTACACATTGACGATGGCACCGGAAGAAGCGCACTCAAATCTCTCTTCCTTTTTATTCGCCATTTTAAATTCCTCGTTAATTATTCATAAATTTACCTGAACATATTTCATCGTCTTCCGTTTCTTCGCTGTGCTTAGATATAGTTGACATAATCCGTTTAACAGGTCTGCTATTATCCATGGTCATTGTTGGACTTCTGTAATTGTCTCCCACAAAAAAAAAATGAAACCAAATTGAGAAAAAAAAATGGCAGCGATATAGAACATTTTTTTTGTTTTCCTGTGCTTGATTTTGCTATAGGTATCTTATGCGTTGTGCATTTTGCTAAAAACGATTGCATTTTTAATGAAACTTAAATTTGAGAAACTGTGCTAAATAAACCACACAAAGCTCAAACAGTGAGCACTCCGGTTGAAAAAATGTGGATTTTCTCGAAAGGTAGTGAAAAAAAAAAAACCTGTTTTTGATCTGATTTTTAATGAAATATAAAAAGTGCTGACACTCACTTTCATTTTGTCATCGTTTGTAATATTTTGCAGATAGTGCAAGCGTCAATAAAATTTTGCATTTAAATATTATGAATGGAAAATAGAATTCATTTCCTTCATCTTCAGCACACAGAAAATGCTTACCGTATGGAATTTGCTGCACTTAATGGTTTTGCAAGAGATGAATTTTTCCGGCTAAGATTATTTTTCCGTTTGAATGACATGCGACTCAAAAATTGTCGAAAATCAAAATTACGCATCGCCTCGATGGTTGATGGCCTGATGAAAAAAAGGATCCAAAAAATAGTCAATTCAATAGATGGCAGAGCAAAGTGATGCGCCATTATGAAGCATATGTCAAGAGATTTATAATTGGTGGTGCATGTAAAAAAAAGCCAGTGAATTTGTTTGAAGACACTTGTTTTTGTTTGAAAAATGGTTCTGTGGCACGAGACATAAAAATCGATTGCATTCGTCATACCGATGGTTGTTGATGGGATGTTGCATCGTTGATGGAGATGAAATATTTCGTGTTACTGGCATGCGATCCATTCTGTGTTCGCGTACGTTTAACGAATTGGTACGCAATGGTGATTTTTTACGCGACGAAATTCGCGCAAAGAGTGATTGATTCGGATGCCGTCTGGATGGTCGTCGTCGAATTTCAATCTCATCGATATTACATTCGTCCAATGGAAAGGGAATATCGTATGTTAAATGCCTGGATCCATATAAACTTGGCTTTCGTTTGCTTCCAGTCGGTTGAGTCTATGAGGGAATGGGGTGGAAGAGTGGATGAAGTTCATATTTTATAAATGAAAATCGATTTCCAAATAGAATGAAACTTAAAATGGATTCGTTTCGCACCTCGTTTTCATCGTTGGTTGTATGTCGTTGTAATCCGATTTTTGAGATATTCTTAAAAAGTTTCCATCGTTCACGCGCTGTCCTTGTGCTATTGGCCAAACAACAACAAAAAAAAAACATTCTCATGAATTAATTCAAAATGCTGGCAAAGAGCAACTCTCAACAACACTGCACTGAATTCAGATTTGTGTTATGATTTCATCCCATCCCGAATAATAATACGAAAATATAAACCATCATAACAAAATCGAAAATGGTATACCAAACGTTTTCATCTTTTGCATTTTCCTTGGCTATTATCGTGTTCCACTCTTGAATCAGTTCGTAATCCTTGCTTTCAATGACTCGATAAGTTCCTTTTGCTCGTATACTGTTATTTTCCATCGAAATAATCTGGATTTTACGGCAGTGTGGTTGATTGTGAGTATGTATGACAGTTTGGACGATGTTGAATGTATGTAAATCGTCATCGTTAGCAATGTTATTGTTATCATTGTTGTTGTTGTTTCCCAGATATTATTCAAAATGTGATGAATCCAAGTCAATTGCATTTCATTTTTTTTTTTTTTTTTCAAAAAAAAAAAATAAGCCGCGATGTATATAAAAAGGCGAATTGAAAAGAAAGAGATTAGAAATTGGAGAAATCGAGAAAAAAAGTAAAGAAATCAACATTCTGTTCAATAACTGTCTCCATCTCTCTCGATCTCAATATGCTTGGGTCTTTGTACGTGTGTGTGTGTGTTAGCATATTTAAAAAAGAGAGACAGACAGGGCAAAACACATTCAGGCTTGTGAGAAATCGTTTACTAATAAAATATTTACATAATCGCTGTGGTGAACTAGATTCGTTTTTTGTGTGACAAGGATAACGGTGCGTTGATGCTTTAAAAGCATATTCTTTATACTGTTATCGAATATCCATGATGATAATTCATTATCCAATGATGAGAGCGGATCATCCTTTAATGCCCATGTTTTTTATTTTGCAAGTAAGTTACAACAAAGATGAGAGGCAAAAAAAATGTATTTTTTTCCGTTGAAATTGTGTTCCGATATTATCATCGTCAGACAGGCGGAAAGTCAATCGTATAAAAAAGAGATGCAAAAAAAAAGAAGAAAAGCTCCAATTATTCGAATGTGTTGGTTGTGGATTTTGATGTGCACATCTTTTACCATAATGACAACATTTGACGATGAATACAGTGCACGAGCGATGGCAATGCGGCTCTTTTGTCCGCCTGATAAATTTATGCTATTTGTGCCGATTTCGGTCAAATCTCCTTCCGGCAAACAACGAAGATCTTCCTTTAAGGCACATGACATCAGAACCTTTTCGTAACGACGTGGCCGATACGTTTCACCAAATAAAATGTTCTCTCGTATCGTTGTTTTCATCAGCCATGGCGTTTGACCGACATAAGCAATTGTCGCATATCTGTTTTTGTGTGAAATAAAATGATATTAATAAAATAGTAGAATTTTTTTTGCTTATCATTTTGAGTTAGGAGAAAAAATACCATTCAATGAATATATTAATGATAAATTTATTAGGTTAAATGTCATAACTCCGAATCGCTTTACCACCATCGTTATTCATCGAATGTAGATATATATATTCATAGCTGAATTCAATCAGACAGTTTACAATTCCAATAGTAGATTACTTACTTATTCCAAATCAGCTCTCCAGATACTAAACGCATTTCCTTCAATATTGCCGCCAGCAATGAAGTTTTGCCACTTCCACTCTTTCCAACAATCACAGTCAATTTTCCTACATTTTGTGCACAATGTCGACAGAAGACGGAATAAGATAAATAAGAAAAGACAGAGTGAGATAGTGAATCAAGGACCAAGAATCAAAGCAAATATATAGAGTGATTAAATTTTACGCTCCAAGTCTTCAATACACTCTTGTCTTCAAGTTCAATTGCATTGCAATTTTGACTAATGATGTTTCCACATCTAGGGCTACTTTTAATTGCGTTTTCAAAATTACATGAACATTTCGATTTCATTTGGAGATGATGAAATTGTGAATTATATTGCAATTGTCATGCTGTGAGAATAAGCCCGAAGCTCTCGATAACTTTTGATAAATCGTTATGAGAAGTTTAATAGTCTATGTATATTGTATATGTATACATTGTAAATTCAGAGAAATTGTTATTGAGCCATTGTGGATTCGATTCAAATTTTGCGATTCAATTATATTGCTAAGTTTTCCATGTTTGATTAAATCGAAAGATTCTAGATTGATTTATTGTATTTTCTCTATCTTTTTTTATGTTCTCTCTATCTATCGTGTATGTGTCTATGCTTTGTGAGTACAAAATATGGCATAAAATGAAGTGAAATTACCTCTTGGTATCTCAAGTCGATCGATGCGCAATGGTGATTTAAGTTGTTCAATGCTGCTGTTGCTGTCCCGTTGTTGTTCCTCTTGTTGTGGCCGTTGCCATGAAAACACTGCATTTCGTATGCTGATTACCAATTCATTTGGTATTTGCATTTGAATTTCGGAAATTGTCAATGATTTTTGACGTGAACGATTTCGATCGATTTTCATGCTCTCACTGATTTTATTGTTTTTCTTCAATTTTATGCTGGCATTAAATGTACGATGTACACCATTTCGTTGCATTGATTTTATCGCCTGTTGCTCATCACAACATTGATTTTCATAAATATCTTGTAAATAGAAGTCATTATTGCTGAATGGAAATTCATTGTTTGGCATGACACTCGAGGTGGTTGCAATGTTTGTCGAATTTAAATGCATTTTATTCGAATGGGATTTCTTCGATGATAACAAAAGCGCTTCATTTGTTTGCAAACCTTGGATGTTATCATCATTGTTTGAATCATCATTCGATTGTCCATCAATGGTTTGGCCTTCATTTTCATCGATTTCGAACACATCAAGCGATGCATCACTTCGACTCATCACATGCGCCATATTCCGTATACCTTCAAATTCCTTTTGCACTTCGGCCTCATGATGCAAAAATCGTTCAATTCGACGTGTACTTACAATGGCCGATATTATCATCGGAATTGTTATCGGGAATATAAAAAGCGGCACTGTCAATTGATTGAATAGTGCAAGAGCAGCAAAAACTCGTCCCGTTGTAAATTTGTCGGTCATGTCATTATGTTCAATCGATAAGAAGACAGCAAATGTCACAAATGTTATGATTATTGACGACAGATGGGTTAGAAATGCTGGAATTAGAATGCAACTTTGTATTGTGCTTGATTGACACCAGAAAAAGGGAGAAAATTGTATGTCACTCACTCATTAATGTCCAATAAATTGAGTCCTTGTCCAAGCATTTCAATTCATTTTCTCGACTTTTTTCAATTTTCTCCGTGAATACCGTTTCCCATGCATTTAGCTTGATAATTTTAATGCCCATCAACAATTCACTGATTCGACCCAAACGCTCGTCGGTATTTGACTAAACGTCGAAATTATAACGAATTTTAAATGCTTTTTGCTTCATTTCTTAATTTAAGTAATGAATTAATGGCATCGGATCATTTTCTTATCACCAATTCTGCCATTGTCATGCATTCATAATCAATTTCATTGAATGTGGTCCAAGTGTGCAACAAATATTGAAATTAATCGCAATAGTTTGTTTTAATAATTGACGGAGTATACTTTGTTCAACTTTTGTTTGTTCATTCAAAATAGTTGCCCAAAAACGTGACTCATTTTATAAACTAGAATTGCCATTTTCACGACAAAAAAAGTACACATAATAATCTCTGGAAAACTCTGTTCAGCTCAATGAGCGTTGAGAGATAACGAATAAATGTGTGATGTGTGCACATGCTTGAACTGTTTTCACATGAACTCAATTACAAAAGCATCACATTCCACCGAGAGAAAAAAACCGACGAAAAATCGGGTTAAAAGTGCAAGAGCACAAAATATTGACAGTAAAAATGAAAAATCCAAAGAATGCGGGAGAAAAAATACATATACTACATGAAATGGAACCTAAATGAAAGAAAAATTGAGAGCGAGAGAGAGAGAGGAAGACACAGATAAGCTCCAAACTCATGTCATGAAATATATCGCATTATATGAGTCAAAAACATTATGATAATGATAAAAAATAATGAGATAAGTCACTTTGACATAGTGAACATTGAAATCTGTACATTTTCATCTCCTTTTCTCACTCCCTCTCCCTCTCTAGCCTTTATTGAGTAGCATCATTCCTCTCTAGACATCGCTTTTTTGGCAATGTTGATGAATTTTCACTGCCAAACTAATGCAATGTACGAATTAATGTTAAGTAAAATATGCCATTAGAATGCATCTACATGAGAGCACTACCTCGTACTCTCCAAAATAACTTACCGCCGTTAGTTTTGCATTGTTCGACATCTTTTTGCCAATGAAAAACTGTAATGGAATCATTGTCACAATGCATACAGTTGAACCGATTATGGCGCTGATCCCAAGCATCTGATACAATAGATACATACAGAAAGCAATCTGTGCAATAATAATTAAATGAAATTAATATTGGTCCATTATAATTTCAGTGACGCAGGAGAGTGTTTTGTGTGTGCGTTTTTATTGTTGTTTGGTTGCCTAGAATCGAAGTGATTGAATTTTGGGGTTGAAAATTCATTTGCACTTTTTCTAACTACTCTTATCTACTCAGGTGCAATGAAATCCATAAAGCTCAGCTCTTTTTTATGTGAAGACGATGACCACGATACACAATGAAAATCTACAATGAACGAAAATACCACTTAAACTAATGGTCACTTTGAATTTTTGCTTTTTCAACCGCATAGTCAATGTGCAATCAAAGGAGTCTGAACTTTGTGCATGTGTGTGTGTCATCTGATCAAAGAGAATAATATCCAAGTGAATACACGAAAGAAACAAATCTCGGCTAAACTCAATGGAGGCAACACGCACCAATATACTCACCCACGCTCACTATCTCACACGAATGACATTCATGGTATCAATATCAATTGAATACACGAGAAAAAAAGAGAGAGAAAAACAAACCTTCAATGGGATCGCCCAAAAATAATGGGCGATATAAAAAAATGACATTACATTAATTGCGTCTTCAGACATTAAGTTTGTTATTGTTCCCGTATCAATGATCGTTGTTTGTTCGTGCAACCGTTGTTGAGCCGATTTGTTGTCGATGTCCATTGAATCGGTTTTTGTTTTGTCGTCCATTGCTCGTGTTGCTGCTTCAGTGTCTGTTGTGTTGTTGTCGTTGTCATGGCCGTTGTCCGGCGTTGTTGTTTCATTGTTTGGTACATCTGTAGAAATGGAAGCATTGCTATTTTCTCTGTCATTTGAACAGTGTTGGTTTGCAATGCTTTCATTACAATCAAATGAATTTGGTGCGGTAAAACAACTCGAACTAATCAACAATGTTTTGCGATAGACCAAACTCTGTAAACTAGTGCGTATCCGTATTCCAATCATGTTCACAATGTGCGTTGATGCTTGTGAAAAAGTGCCCTGTGCCAATGTTGCCAATAACACCAATAAAGCCATTATCCAACCATTTTCCATCAATTCCGACCAAGTTGGATAGTAAATTTCCGTATTTTCATTTATCAATTGCGCAGCTGACATCCAATATCCCAACGGTGACCACGACGACGACGATGACAGTGCTGAAGCTGATAATGGCACATCGTAATTACTGTTTGACCTGGTTTTTATCGCATCGTTCACCGCTTGGGCTGCTGCCATTGCCGTCGTACTCATCATATCAGAATGCGTAATTGATGCCATAGCATCCGTACCATTGATTGCATTAGATAATTTTATATTTTTCAATGGTGACGATGCGCTTGTAGCTGCCATCGTCGACGACGATGCTTCGTTCAAATTTTGTTGAATATATTCAACAATTTGGGAAATTGAAATTGGACCAATCAACGCGCAACAATCGCCCAACAATTTTAATATCCCACCGTAGATGAACATTTTCCAATATGTTCTCATGTAGCACAGCCAGAGAGATGGGGTCTTCGACTGAAAAAAAAAAAAAGAAATACACATAGAATTTGCAATCATATAATAAATGTCAAGTGATAAAAAATATACTAGTTGTTACGATGAATGCGCACCACGGAGAACATTACACTTCACATGTAATATATGGAAATGAATGCACCGAATGACATTTATAGAAAAAGAGCGGGCGAGAGTTATGAATTAAATGCAAACAATTATATTAATGGATTCACGTCAATTATTCATGCGTTCTTGCTTCGTACTACAGTTTTTCGGTCATCTTTTTTGCGTACGTTGTTTTGTTGGAATGTTCTATCCATCACATGTTCCATAAACAAAATTACTTTGGGCCATTTATTTGAGTCTTTTCAACATTTATTTCACCATTAACATCAACCAGTCAAATAACATTGCATACCTTACTGTGTTTTTTTTCCACTGATATTCAAATATGAAATTGAAGTTATTGCTCGAGAGCGTGGGAAAATATTTGCAGGTGTATGTAAAAACATATTTCATTCACACAAAAACACTCATATGATTCAAAACCATTAAGCTATCGCCGATTACATCAAATAATTGTGGACGCTTGGTTCTACTCATTGGTATGCAATCAATTTTACTAACAATTTATCGTTCAATACTGTTCGAAATCGAAAATATGAACAAAACCGGTTGGTGAGTCAAGGAATCATATAATTTATTTATTTGGAATTTTTCATTAGTTTGATTCACTTATGAACGCTTATGAACTAATTTTACATTAAATTTAAGTCATTTTCGTTTGATTTTGTTAAAATTATTCACTAAATTTACATGCAATTCAATACATGTTTAAGCATCAAGTCATTTATTTGGCATTTTTCATTGCAAGTGTTTCTTTGTGTGTATTAATAACAATATGACCACTTATTATCAAACATAACAAAATTTCGAGATCAATTTCTTCATCGTTGCAAGAACGATACATCGTTTTAATCTTATTCAAATTTTCTCCGTTTTTCCCAAAGCCAGAAATGACACGAACTATTTTATTTCGTTTATTTTTCCGATTAAGTGCATCCAATCGATTTTGTTCTTTGTTTGACACAAAATATTTCAACTTCAACCCCAAAAAAGACGCAGATTTCGATTCATGCGTCTTTTTTGGGGTTGAAGTTGGAACATTTTGAGAATTCGATGCATCACACTCATCCAATGCCAATCCAACTGCTTCGTATATTTGTTGCAATGGAAGTTCAATTTTATCTTCATTTGTTGGTTCATTTCATTTCATCCGAACTGATTTAATGGAAACCGAATTTTAAAATCGCTCCGAACACTTTTGCATTTAATGAACACATTTTATCCGAACTGATTTAATCGCGCCGAACACTTTCGTATTTAATGAACACACGAAATCCTAACTGATTTAATGGAAACCGAATTTAAAAATCCGTAAATCCAAAAATTGAATGTGAATTCCTGCAAAAAAAAAATATGTTACAATGTGTATAAACTTAACCACACTTTGGCACAAAACACGTGCATGCAAACAATGTGTATTGAATTCATTTACGTTGAACGCGTTCATTTACAATACACATAAAGCATTGAGAGCGCTGTGTGTATGAAGAGTTAAACTACTGTACAATTCACACAGATAGTTTATCTCTTCTCACTTACAGCGCTCTCAATGCTTTATGTGTATTGTAAATGAACGCGTTCAACGTAAATGAATTCAATACACATAAAGCATTGAGAGCGCTGTGAGTGAGAAGAGAGGAAATATACATTCATTTGTTGTTTTCTTCTTCCACACTTCAATAAACACTCGAAAAAACATCTTTTTTTAAAATAATTTTCTCTCTATTTTTCCAATTTTTTATTTGAAAATAAAATAAAAGAGAACCCGACGAAGCTATTCATCCACATTTAAAAAAAAAAAAATGTAGAAAAATATCATTCCGTTTTCGAGTTTTATGCTAACACACAAAACCCAACTTATTTTTATATATAGAGATAGAATAGATAGAGATAGAAGAGAAGAAGAAGATTTCTATATATTTACTATTATTATTATTATTAATCCCTGTATTTTTGCTGCGGCCCTAGCGGGGTAAACCTTTAATATTAATTAAAATACATGAGTAAAAATGAAAATCCACGACCTATAAAATCCACGACCTATAAAATTCACGACTCGGAAAAATTCACGACTCGGAAAAATTCACGACCTATAAAATTCACGACCTATTGCAAAAAA